AATGACCCTTCACATCTACAGAAAGAGCGGGTCTGCTCCTTCTGTAAATGTGAAGGGTCATTCTAGCAGGCGCAGTGCTACGGCAACTGTCACTTTGAACCACATTTGACAAAGTTAACTGACTCTGGAGAAGGCCTTTCTTTTCTCGCGGAAGGGGAGGTGGAAGGGTTAATTAGTTGTCTAATCGGCAACCTCACCGCTAGATGCCACAAAATCGTACACACTGGACTTTTAAAACCAAAAATAGCGATATGAAAGTATATTTCAACCCTAACCTTGAATAAAACTAAAACACACTCCTAAAAGTTAATTCCTAGTGATTTATTTTAAATTGAGTAGCCTATAGACCTGATCTTTTATTCAATAACAGTAGTCCAACAAATTATTAATTAGGAAGCTATGGCTAGGAGCTATACCAAAATAGTTTTGGTTTTATTGTAAATTAAAATAGAATAGAATAGAATAGAATAGAATAGAAAGCCTTTATTGTCATTATACACAGTACAATGAAATTTAAAAAGCAGCTCCGTAAAAGGGCACACAGAGCTGTGAGCCGCTGCGTCTGTGCGTGCCACCATCTTCTTTGGGTTGGGTCTATTTCCAATTAATGTGGCCATTGTGGTCATCCATGCTTTGCACTAGCCACCTCCCTTGTAGAGATTCAGGAAAACAAGGGGTTTCCTACAGCTTCTAAGTGATAACTTTCAAACCTTTGTCTATAAGAGGAATATATACAGACAAAGTTGTCACATGGAATGGCTAACTGCATGGGGATCTACATTTGGGTCAGCCAGCTTTTTCTCTCAGCTACTATTGTAATGTCACATCATAGTGGGGTCAGAGAAAATGTATTACCAGATTTACTGCTGGTGAGTCGCACATATGGGAATCCCTCACATAAAATTGCTTTTTACATGCTGTAATCGCTTTCTCTTAACATATGGAGAGCCGACCCTTTGGTCCAACCTTCGTTCCCCCTAAATCTCTCCCACTAAGGTGCAGAGTGCAAACTTAGCATTAACTGTAGTAAGCTGTGAGATGGTTAGTCTGACCCTACAGTATGTGCAGACATTTCAAGTCATGCATCAGTCAGTATTGACCCTTGACCTCTCAGTTTTTTGCCTTGCAACCCTTAACTGCTTTGACCTGTACTGCTGATACCAGCTAGAAAATAAAACCTTGCCCTTCTTCTGTTCCCCTTTGTATTGCATTACAGCAATATGGCTAACACAGTGGCTAACACAGTGGCCACACTGGAACCGAATGTGTTGTTTTTGGAATTCAAGGGAAATTCTGTGAACACTGAATGCTTTGACATGTGGTTGCGGTGCATTTCAGCCAAAAATGTATTAATTTATCTGTTGACTGTTTGATAGGACTGTGCTGCTGAGTGTCAGGTAGCTTGCTTTGGTGATCATTTAAGTGATACTCAATACACCATTTTCAAGAGAATGATTCACTAGACAATTTACCAGTTAGCAGCTGCCAAGTCAAAAATTGAACACATCCCAAGGAAGAAGGTCTATGGAAATGCTTTAGCATCCATTTCACTCCCTTACTATATGTTAGACTACAAGCACTGATGAGAGAGAACAAGACAGTCCCCGGACCTGCTCCTTCATTAGCAAAATAACTAACTAATAAGCCCTTACTGCACACAGGCATGATATTTACCACAGAGAGCTGCAGTTACACATTATAACCATAATAATTATAAAGAAACCATTTAGAGCTATTTTGAAAAATAAAGGAAACCCATTGTGTTTATTGGCTCTCCTTGGATTTCACTGCAACCCACAGATCAACAGATAGCATTTAGGGCATAATGTTTTTCAAGGTTACATCATGCTTTGCAGTCTGCTAGTGGATCAAGATATATTTTTGTTATCCTTAGTGGGAAAATACAGGTCACACATAAAAGGAAAATGGTCGATAAAAATTAATTCATGTAATTCCCTTGATCTGCAAGGTCTCAGTCAATATTTGTGTACATGAGTTGCTCTCAGACCAAGAGGTCACAAAGCTGTTGCTTTCATTTGTGTTGCACGTTCTTTAAAAGCCTCTCTACAGACAAAGTAAAAATATATTCATTTTCTTATAGGCAAAGGTTTATAATTGAAAGTAATAGCAAAACAAACACTACTCTTATTAAAGTGGCTCTCAATGTCAGCTTTTTATGATAATAACACAACAGAGGGAATCTGGCATTAGTAAAGTTCAAGGCAGGTTTTCCTCATCCAGGGTTCTGAAATTTTAAAAAATAAATTTTGCATGACACTGAAGCATTGTTTTTGGGGAAATCCATTATCTCTCATAAATGACTAAATTATATTTGGATTTTTATCAGTGCACTTCAGTGACAGCTGTAAATTACAGCTCTTGTAAGATGCACTTGTCTTCTGAACCATTCCATTGATAATGTCCTACAATGTGTACAGCAACTGTCAAAGGGAGAACTGAAAAGGTTGCTGTGTCTCCACAGTTTGGTCTAGTTTTGGAAAATATGAGATTTCTGGAACACTATAGATACAGATCTACACTGAATGCTCACTATGCTGATAAATGACCTTGTGCTGTCAGAAATCATGCTGGTTGGGCTGAACCTGCTCCTCCTCCCCAGATTAAATGGTCCTGTTTTAGAGTGACTAAAACCAATGGCGGCCCTAAACAACCTGTATAGCCCAAAATGTCCTAGTTAATCACCGGGAAGTTCCCCTTTAATGGCTGACAAAGTGTAAATACAATTGCGGTAATGTCCATTTATCTAAAACATCCTGTGATTAATAACATATCCAGGCTGCTAACAAAAACAAACAGTGCTTCCTTTATTCACTTCCTGTAATGGATTTTTCATTAGTCTACTTCTTGTGATACATTTACCAGTGCTTAATGACCACCTGAAAACAAATACTTCAAAACAACATGGTCATGTGATATTTCCTGAATTAACAAATTGACACAGATTGCCTGGATGCTCCATTAATCAGTAGATCTACACACACTGGGTTGTGGAATACTAAAGGATAGACCAGTTTTGTCTTTCTAATTCAGATAAAAGAAGGTGGTATTTTCCAGCTGACTCTGAAGGAGCCTTTAAAATGTGACAAGCCTTGTGGGCCTGTTGTGACATATCCAGCCTGAAAATGCAGACTTTAAATCCAGCTGTAGGCTATAGTCCAGGTGATGTCCTGGCTGGGCTCCCCTTATACAGATGAAGCACATTGGAGTTACACTGTAACATTGTACATTGTTTCAGTCTATTGAAGGCAACAGTGCTTTCTGTATGCAGTGATCAACAGAATCATACTTGCATTAAAATGAGACACACTAATTATCATTTCCAGTATGCTGAGGTTCATAGAACATTTCTGACTTCTAGAAGTAGTTGTAGGGAATACATGCAGGACAAGACAGTAAAAATATGCTTTATGGTGGTACTTTTGCAAGCTCTGGTGAATTTACCAGTTGATGTCAGATTGTAATGGCTTGCTGTCGTTTCTGCCATCTGGTGTCTCAGTGGACTTAAAACTGAAGGTAGAAAAGGTAGAACTCAAAATAGCCAACACAAAATGGCCAACAGATGGGAGTTGTGACATGTGAACAGTGAACAGGAGAAAAAAATCATAAGAATACAACCACACTCGAGGGACACCTCATCAGCGGTCACATGATTACATTTACCATTATATATAGCCACTGTAGAAGCCCCACATGTTACCGAAGTACTGAATGTCAACCTCTCCCCACTGAATAATATTACCTGTCCTTTCTTTGCTCTAATTGCTCTGGAGAAAAAAAAATCTGCCTTTTTTTTTTTCTTGATTTCTAACTTAAAGCCGTTCCAACAGTCACTTATTGGGTCTCCCCATTAGTTACTTGGAATGTGAGACATCTTGCAAATGAAGCATCTTTTACTGTCCATAACAACTGGATGTGGGACTGGGTAAACCTATGGTAATGTAAATCAGTCAGTTCTGTCAGTGTGGTTTTACAGAATAACTGATATCAGTGCTTTGTACTTGATGACAAATTATAATATAAAATAGTTGATCTGGTGCCAGTACAGTTTTAATATAAAAAATGAATTTGATTTTACAGTATGATGTACTGTATGAGATACAGATAGAGATTGACTGTCTGAAATTATTTACGCTGGATGCCCTTCTCTATTCAACCCTCTTCATTTATCTGGGTTTTGTATCAGAAATTAGTGGCTGGTGAACATTGCAGGGTTCAGTGTCTTGCCCAAGGACACCTAACCATGTGGGTAAGAGGTAGTGGGAATCAAACTGCCAACCCTGTGACCAGCAGACAACCACCAACGAGGTCTACCACCTGAGCCATCTCCGCCCCACAGATCGATGTTAAAATAAAGAGTTTAAAGGAGTCCATCATGCATGTAGCTTGTTAGCTCACTCTGACTCACCATAGAACCAAATTACACACAGTAATTCTTTATTTTTTACTCATAGGCTCAAAAATATATTTCATCTTAAATAAAGACAAATCAACAACCATGAAACAGACATTTAAAAGCAGTGCTTTAACTATAAATTAGAAGTTTAACCATTGCCTTAAACGTCCACAGTATAATTTGCTCAAAGCAACGGTATATGGCTGCTGAACAAGTTAGACTGTTAAAAATATATGGTTAAATGCAAAAATCTAGTTTGAACTTTTGAATATGGCAATGCATTAAACACAATGCTCATCCTCATGTGGCCATTTTGTCTCTTTTGTGTTTTGTCACTGTATATTATAAAATATAATCTCTTCTGCTTGCAGTTCTCACCATAAATAATCTCCCTGACAGTAATTTTTGTGATGTATGTTTGTTTGTAAATGTGTGATTGTGTTTGGGTGCTGCACATGGGTTTACACATTTCTATGTGTGTCTATATGTGTAAATATACCTGTGTGCGTGCATGTTCCTGTCCGTGCTTACGTATGTCCCTTTTACGTGTATTTTTGTTTGCGTGCGTGTGTTCACACCATCGTAGGAAGTTGGCAAAGAAGCAGAAGGAGACTGCCAGCAGCTCCACCCAGCAGAGGGAGATGGGTCCGGTTACCACAGCTGATAAGAGCACCACTAAAGTCAGCACCCTGCACAAAGACGACCCCTTCTCCACCTCCAACCAGGACCTCAATGGATTCAGTAAGTCAAAATCCTCTGTGCTTTTTGTGCATCCTAAATCTACCAACTGGCACCATCATGGAGGTCCTTCAGAGAATATACTGTCCGAATCGAATCCCTAAATATAAAACTATGGTAGAATACAGCAAAGCGAATTTGCCTTATCTAATAAATTTCGCTGTAAGTTTTACATTTTGTCAGATTCATTTATTCAAATAGTGGACATCTCATTTTACAATAAAACTCTCCATATGTTCCTCTTTCACCAATATCAGCAGCATGTTGTACTGCTTCACCAGCCCCCATCTTACTTAGTGCAGTTGTAATCATTTTCAGCTCATTTCCTCTGAACTGGTTCTGCTTTGTGCTGCCTCATACACATGCAAGTACATCTATGCATATTGCGGTGGGTGTTTCACGTGTGTGTGTCTCTTCAGCTGCAATCTTATAACAATCAGCCTGCCCATATTTGCGTGGCCATGTGGGTGTATATTCCTGTCTCTTTGTAAAATGATGCATGTGTGTGTGTGTGTCTGTCTGTGTGTGTGTGTGTGTGTGTGTGTGTGTGTGTGTGTGTGTGTGTGTGTGTGTGTGTGTGTGTGTGTGTCCAGGGTAATTAGACAGGGCCCCTCAGAAGGGCATTTTTCTCTTGAAAATGTCAGGCTGGCCTTTTGGGAGTGCTTGGCCATTGAAAGCCAGGGTTGCTGGAGAGGGACTAAGTAGCAAGCTGATGCCGGCCGTAATTGCCCGAACTCTTCCTCTAACTGTACATGCAGCAATTCTGACATAAAATAATGTTTCTGCATTGAAAACACTTAGACTAGACTGCTTGTATCTGGACCTTGGATGTATAAGAAAGCTGTGATATTCATTGTTTTTATTTCATTGACTTTCAGATAAACTTAGAGGGAACAACATATAGGGAAGGAGCTTACTTTCTTCTAGACCTTGGGTTTCATAAACTTGTAGTATTCAAGACATTCAACGTTTTTTTTCTTCCAACTAGAACTCAGTTCACTTTGGCTGAGTCTATACAGTAAGTAAAAGCTTTGGCATTTAGAGAATTTAGAAAAAAAAAGGTTAGTGTCTTCCGGAAACTGGAAATATGATAACGTAATGGTTACTTTAAAACTTCCAGGCAGAGTTGACTAAACCTTGCTTGGGGCCAAAAATAGAGTTTTGGCATTCAAATAGAATTTTCGTCTTCTTATGTGAAATTAAGTTTGGACTTTCGAAAGGTGCCAGACTTCTCTCCTTTTTAATCAGCTTTGGGTAAATGTAGAAAAATATGTCTTGGTTGGTATGCCATTTAATCCAGAGAGACACTGCACTATTGTATCAGTCTATGCAGACTGTATGGACGGACTATGACAAAAAAATATAATTCTGCCAATTTTGCTGTCACTTTATACACTTTTAATTAGATTGTTGTTTAAAATTCAATTAGTTGTCAGGTTTGTCAAACTTGGTGCCATGAACTAGTCTCTTTCTGTCAAAGTTGTCTTATCACATTCATATTTGAAAAAGAAAAAGAAACAGAGCGCACACGTTCACACACAGTCACCGATCCAGACTCAGTCCTAATGAGACAGAGAAAAACGCTGACACAAGGTAGGGGACCCAATAATATTTCCGCGGATGGACCCTCGCGGAGCAAATAACCTTTTTGTGTTATTGCATTCTCACCCAGTCGCCAGATATCTTCACAGGACATTGCTGTCAAAGCAGATTTCTTTTGGTATGCAGGTACACTCCTCACTGTATTAAAGTTGAGCTTCTTTTTGAGGCGCATTAGCATACAGTGCCGGTACGCATGAGACGAGAGGGATTTTATCAGAAGAGGAGAAAATATGTTGTGTTTGGAGGTATTAGGAGAGGAGAGCAGAGGGGAGAGATGAGAGGAGAGAGGGAAGAAAGAGAGGACAACGGAGAGAGGAGGAGAAGATAAAATTTAAATTATTCGCTGTAGGGAAATTGGGCTATTGTACCAGAAAACAGTAGAGCAAACAGAATATGAATGAGAATTAGGAAAGAGGGCTGCTACATGGATCATTTTCACATCAGAAAATTGTCATCACATGAATATTTAAGACATCAGTAAATGACACACAGAACACTGGGTGAGGTCTGTGTCAGCCTTCATACTTCATAATTTATTTTAAAGTTTTATTTGATCGGACACCTTCTAGGTTGTTTTATGGTAAGAAACAGGAAAAGAGTGCTGTCTGCACAGAAAACTACGTTCGAGCTTTTGGGGTTACTGGTAAGCATATCCATTCCATTTTATAATGGTGACAGGAAGGAGCAGAATTTACCCATTTACATTTGTCTTTTCAAGCATCTCGTATCCAGATGACAACAGCGTAGCAAGATAAAGCCAACAGCTAACAGAAACACGTGGACGAGTCACATGGACGGACCATTATTTTTCTGCCCACCATCACAAGCACTCCATCATGCTGCTCTCACACAAGTGACATATCTCTGAAGCCACTTTCTTCCTATCACTTTAATGTGACAGGGAGAAAGATGGCTAATTTTAGTGTCACCTCAGCTACCATTATCACAGGAAGAAGATGCTGTAAGTGGCTATTTCCACAGTCCACTTAGTGACAAAGTTACACTTGGGAGTAACATGGGCTCAGAGAGGCTTTTCAGCATTAGCAAAAATACACTTTTCAACAGTTAGCCATCATGGTAAATGTTTTGAAATCCCTCTTTATTTCTTATTGGTTGTGTTTTTTTCATATCAGATAGTAGTCTGCTTGGCCAAAAGGCATTAATTAGCAGACTGGGACTTCTCTACCAAAATGGCATCACACTGCGGTTCAACGACTCCAAATGAGACCGAAAAAACACTGGATACCTAAAGTACAGCTAAAGCTAATCTATGAAGTGCAGAGAAAAATGCCACCGGGGAAGCTGAAGTATTATATCATATCACTGAGTACAAAGGCAAGTGGAGGAGAGATTACTTTCCTGTTTCCACTAATGAAAACCACCTTGGACCACCAGGAGTCTGAAATACACAAAACAGATGAACACATGCAAAACTACTGTACAGTATATGCTGACATGCATGGGTACTATTTGCCTGGCGAAAGCCTATAGATAAATGACAATTACACACACACACAAACACACACACACACACACACACACACACACACACACACCAACTAGCTGCCGGTCCTATAGATAAATGTAGGCTAGCTGTGATATCTAGTGTGGATTATTGAACAGGATGAGCTAGCATATAATATGTCAAAGTCAGTCTCCCAGCAATCCCCCAAGGTTTTATCTTATTGTGTGTGTGTGTGTGTGTGTGTGTGTGTGTGTGTGTGTGTGTGCTGGTGTCTATCCTAGATATTATTTATTAATAGCCCCTAGCAGTCTGTGTGTGTATGTGGGAGATAGAGCGTGTCTGCATGGACGTAGTAGTATCAGTATCAGTCACTATTTAAGAAAGCAGAACCTGGTAGAGAATCACATTCATAAGCAATGGTACATCAGCTCAGCTCTTTTCTGTTTTCTATTTTGTTCTGTTGACTTGCTTCCCACTGTAGCCTTTTTGAACTGGCAATAGCAATTTGATCAACCACTGGGAGTTAGTTGACCAAAAAAAACAACAAAAAAAAAACAGACAGCAAGTAAAAGGTGGACACAAACATATGTCATTTCAACAAATTACCATAGGAAGTGTTCTTGAGTCGTGACTGCAGATGTCAGTTTTAAAGCTGTTTGAGTAAATGCTTTTTTGATTAGGTAACTGCTCGCTACCTTCCAGACTAGCTGACTTACAGAGTGACAGAGATAGCCTACATACTGAAAAACTGGAAAATAAAACTGTGCAGTGAAACATAACAATGTTTCCATATGGCTCTATTTGTCCACTTACACAGTTGGGTCACTTAAAGTTATTTTCAGTGATCTACTATACCAGGATGGGGCCTTTATATCCAGATGGGAGAGACTTGACAAAATGAATGCCGAGGAGCACTGAACCTGTTGTAGAGACTCACAGATAAACACCTTATGTAGACAACAAGGAGCCACCATACCACACAAAGGTCATTTTAAGCTGGTCAGGGATGGGGGGCTCTATTTGGTACTTAACTGCTCAATATGTGCTAGGCTGCCTGAGTTAGTGGGACAAATGCATGTTGTTATACCCTGGAATAATTGAGATCCACTTGATTCATAATGTTGTTATTGGTAGTTCGATTGCTTGTGTCATAGCTGGGGTGTGATGATGAGTATTACATGCCCACTGGACTTATACTCCACCCTGTTCTCCACTTTATATCAAGCCCTGTCCCTTGCCATTGGTTCATTCCATTTAGTTTGAGCCATCATTCTTCATACGAGCCACACAGTCATGTAATTGTATATATTGACGGACATTGAGAGTATGTCATATTTGAGTGCGCGCTCATTGAGACGGAACCACTTTTATGCTTTAAAATTCAATACCAGTAGCATTGATGGTGCCATTAGTGGTATTGGATTGTCTTGTGCTGTTGAATATGGCGTATTGATCATCCTTTGTATATGTTTTCACTGTTAATTGTGTCCTGCGATGATTGATCGTTGAGTTCACTGACCCACCCCTCTTCTCCTCTTCCCTCTCCTCTGGTTTCTCCCTTTTGTCCTTCACCTGATTTGTGCTTTACTTTCTGTCCCCCCTGTCCTCTTTATTTTATTGTCTTTTTCGCATCCTGCTTCCTCCTCTTGTTTCCCCTCACACATCCTCTGTTCTCATCTTTCTTCATCTTCCTCCTGTTTTTTTCCCTCCATTCACCTCCTACACTCCCCCCCTTACCTTCCTACCCTGTCCCGCACTTCCTTTTCACCCAACCTCCCTCCTTTTTTCTCCATATTATAACACCCTCTCCCCTTTTTCCTCTTGTTTCCTCATCCTTTTACTCACCTTCCTTTCACCTCTCCTCCCTTCTGTCTCCTCCCCAGCCTCCCCCTCTCCCTGCTCCTTCTCTGTGCAGGGAAGCAAGACACTGCAGAGCAAATCCCTGCTGAATTCCTACTACTCGGGTACACACTTGTATACACACACACTCACACACACACATAACATCTGAAGATGCTTTAGGCGAAACAATTCGATGGCTGTAGTGGAGTTGCCTGCAGCTGTAAGTGCAAGTGGACAACCTATGCCTATAAATGACACTGTGTAGAAACAGCTCCTTGATTCTGTTACGAGTACTCAGACTACAGTGCAATGTTTGCGTTATTTTGCACGTTATCACTTGTAGAACATGTTAATGGTCCTCAGCTCTCAGCTAACTCACTAAAACCTGCCCTCTTTCTTCATCTAGTTTGTAATTCATGCTTGTGTTTCTCAACCTTACAGACAGTGGCTTTATGGTCAATATTACAAAAGTTTTTACTTCCTTACATAAGCATATTAAAGACCCAATATGGCATACCTGTTGTTGCTTTTACTGACTGAGAATGTGTGCTTCCTTCTGTGTGTCATGCTGCGTGTGCAGTGTCCAAAGAGCCAGTTCCAGCCACAACTTCTATAGGTGAGTAAAAACTGTTTGTCTCACTTCAATTTCCTCCCAATCTATAATTTTGTCCATATCTCTCTCAGTTACCAATTAATGCTACAATAAATAATACAAGTTGACAAAAAGGCAGTTTCACACACATCAGGGGACATGCAACGTCAAAGATGCACATGGAAGGCTTCATTCATATACTTCATGTGCAATCACAAATAGGAATGCACACACACACACACACACACACACACACACACACACACACATATTCACACACTCACGCAGGGTTTACACATGGGCAAAATGAAATGTCAAAACCATTTTCCACTACCTTCTTTCTGTCTTTTTCTCTTCATTTTTCCTCCCTCTATCCCCTTCTGTTGGCCAGATTGACCAGTTCCTTGCCAAGGAGATTGGCTCTGGCCTCTGCCAAAGTGTAACATGTATGTGTGTGTGTGGCCAGTCTATGCACTAGTAGATCATTTCACACTCTCTCTCCTTCACACACACACACACACACACACACACACACACACACACACACACAGAGGCATAAGTGGCATCGTGACATTTGTGTGCAGGTCTCTCTTTACGGGAGTGTTTCTGTTTTATGTGATAATACTTATCAGCCAGCTGCCACCTCGTCATCTTCCTGCCACACCTCCTCTCATCCATCCTCCTCCTTTTCACTCCTGCCTTCTTCCCTCCTGCACTCTGCCCATTCTTTTCCCTGTCCCTGTCATCATGTCTGCTGTCACGCCACCCCATCTCCCTCCTTTACCTCTACATGTCTTGCAAACTACTTCTTTCTCAATTGATTTCATTAGACCATTGTTCATTGTTATATTTATAAATGTTTTTATCCATTAAAGCGTTTTATTTTAATTCCATGTCTCTGTTTTTTTCATCTCCAGTATTCTTTTCATTTTTACATACATAGCTGTCTTTTTGCCATTGGTTTTCTCTTTTCCTTCTTCTTCTTTGTCCCTCTCCTCTCTTTCCAAAAGTGCATCTTTTCACACTGTTGTTTATCAGCTCAATAACTGTTATACCTGCTGAGCACATGTGTTAACTTCCCAGGAAACAGAGAGCCAGACATTTATAAAGAGAAATTACTGTCATAGACACCCAATATGCGTCTCGTCTGCTCGACGAAAACCGACTGACTACAGAAAAGTGGTCAAAAGAGAAAGAGGCATGGAGAGAAAGATATCCACATTCTCTAACAATGTGCACATTTAAGCGAGTTTACTGTAACTGGCTGCACAGGTTTCTGTACCACTTGCTGACGCACATCAAGGAATGATGAAGCAGAATGCAAAAGAACGCTTGAGCGATTTGTGCAATGGCACAAATTTGCTGTCATACATCTTCACAGAATGACGTTAGCGTTTTGTCAAACCATCTGTTCTCTGTACAATTAGATAGAAAGACATGAGATGTAAAACAAAACTTTCATCATTACTGTGAAGAAATATCTGGTGTTCACAATAAATACATAAAGTATAGGCCTAGAAAACACACTACATATATTAGAACAAATGTGGCATGATGAAACTGATACAGCAGTAAAACCATGATGAAAAGGAGAATTAAAAAATTTTATTTCATCCATCGTTCTATACATGATCCTTCTATCATCTGTTAATCCATCTGTTGACCACTACTCTATCTCTCTGTCCATCTATCCATCCCTGCCTCTGTACTCTCAACACTCTCTCACATCATCCTTTCATCTCCTCATCCACCCATATATCCCTCTTTTGTTCTTCTCGTTTCATTACATTCTGCCTTTTCTTTGCATCTATCCATCCATCATCTCTCCCTCCATCTACTGCCTGACCATCCCTCCACCTTTCTCTTCAACTCTTCATTCATTTAACCACCCCTCCACTCTTGATTTTTTCCTCCTTTCATCCATCCGTTCATCCGTTACTCACATTTATCCATACCTCGCAGGATCATGTGTCCATTCGTCCCATCTATCTGTCCACCCACTCGTCCGTTAATCCCTACATTGCCCATTTGGTCATTTCCTCATATCTGTTAGTCCTTCCATGCACCTTTCTATCCCTCCATCACTGTCTACATTCGTCTCTTCTTTTCTAGTGTAATTTATTCAATTAACCCTCCTTCCATTCATTCATCTATTAATCTTTCCAGTTGTAGGTACATTACTCCCTCTATAAATCCTGTATTTTCCTTCCACCAGTACCACGCTCTCCCATTTCATACCTCCCTGCAGCCCTACGTTCATCTGCTCATCCCTCCTTTCCTCCATCCATCCATCCAAATACATCATATAGAGGTGTTGGGTGCTGTTTACGCATCATGCTGAGCATCGCAATTATTTTATTGATTGAAGCAGTAAATTAGTGAACGGAGGACCTTCAAATTGACCACCATGCATGTTTCCATCATCATTATCTTCATCATGATCACCACCCAAGGCCAAAGAACGAGAGACAGGGGTTTGGAATACTAATGGATAGAAAAATACAGGGACAGGGATGAAAAAAAAGTATATGTAAAGGGATGGAAGAGAGTGTAAACTGAGGGAGGGGTGGAGGAAGGGAGATAAATAAACAAGAGGAAAATGAAAATGAGAATATTTGCCAGTTCCTTAACAGGAAATTTCTTTTTACAATATGTGTTTGTTTGTTTGTTTGCTAGTTTAATCAGAGCTGAAATGTACTGCTGATATTTTTAAGATGTTTTTTATCCTACCAAAGCACTTATATAATCCAATATTCAATATTAAATGGAATGAACACAAACTGAAACTCATCAGAGATATTCTGATTCTAGTTGTCAGACAGTTCTCCTCTGACTAACTTTCTTAGTTGTATGTGACTGCATTTCATTCAAACAAATAAAAATAGTGCACAGAAAATATTCCCACCAGAATTGACTAGAAAATACTGCCAAAAATCATTTTCATGTGATCTGATAAGCTTCATATGTTTCTACACGTTACCACTGTAACGCTCAGCACTCCCATTGAGTCCATTATGTTGCTCATTTTATCCGAAGTGGCCTCCAAGGGTTGGCTGAATTTAATCACTTAATGAATGGATAGGAAACATTTCATTTTTAAAGTAAGAATCCAACATTTAGACGTGTTCCAATACCTTTCAGGCTTTTGAAAAGGGATTGTGGTACCAGGAGTCTGAATGGTTCCGGTGAGGATCGTTTTTAATAGCTTGAAGAGAAGAGAGAGGAAGAGCAGAGACTGAGGTGCTGAGAGAGAAGAAAGTTATTAAGACGACAGTGAAAGAGACATACAGATTGAGGGATCAAAGACGGGGAGAAGGAGCTTGGGTAAATCCAGTATGCAATACGGAGTGGGGTTTAGCACGAAGTGTGTGTGTGTGTGTGTGTGTGTGTGTGTGTGTGTGTGTGTTTTCTTTTTGAACTAGCTGTATAGCCTTCTCCATAGCTCAGGTGTTTTCTCAGCTATGGAAATGGGATTTCACATGCACACACACGCACACACATATTCTCTCTCTCTCTCTCTCTCTCTCTCTCTCACACACACACACACACACACACACACACACAAAATCTTACATATATAAGCAAACACAGAGAAACCAACACTTACACACCTGGTATAGCATATACCAGTATACAAATATATGCATAAAGAGACAAGGACACATCAGAAAGTTACAAAGCACCGAAGTACACACTTGCACACATCCATAGGCACATACACCCAGCATAGTGTTAACATTAATGCGACGTAAATCCACTGGATCAGTAGAAAGCCACCGCAGCATAGCGTGCATTTCATGTGCAAACACGTTTTCCTCTAAAAATCAATTTCCCAGACACTGATGTATGTTAAAAGGTTGCGCAACACTGTTCTCTGTCAGTTCACAAACCAAGCGTCAGCCTTTTGTGCCCGGCCAAGGACAGCCATTCGCTGTTGTTAGCATAGAAGTCATGTTTTTCCAAGGATCAGAGGCTTTTTGTGGTTAATTAGGTACACACAGTTGCACAAATACAATGATACCAACACGGACCCATGCAAAAGCGTCCCAGGAAACTAGGACGCCGAGAACAAAACTCAAGAACTAGATCTGAAACTAAAATTCCCCCTTGCACATTCCTGTTTGCCTTTTCAAGGGCATCTAAAACCCATGTAGGGAAATTAGATCAACAATGGATTAAAAAGCAATGACTTTGGTTGAGACAAACATTTTGCAGGTGAAAAGACTTGAATACAAAGACACAGATTCATCTTGTTCTTTGTCATTTACTGCTGAAACATACTGATGTTTGCACGGATGTTGCAAAGGAGATGTGAGGAGGTGAAGTAGAAAGGGATTATGTATTTACTTTGTGCGCCTAACTTTTTTTTTTAGGTGCACCAGCACAAAATGTAGGTGCACCCAAATTGTTCATTGCGTCACCTTTTTATTGCTCTCCAGAACTTTCATATAATGTGAATGATTTTTAAACAAGAATAAGGTGTAGAGAAATGCTTGTCTTTATTTGAAGCACAATTATATATAAAAGAAAAATAGTCTATTTTTAAAAGTGTCCTCAGATAACTTCTGTTATGAATTGGCGTTATTTAAATAAAATTGAATTGAATTGAATTGAATTGAATTGAATTGAATTGAATATGGTGTTCACTTGCCCTGGTTGATGAGTGCAAAAATGTATCTTATTCCCCCAATCATGTGTAAAAGTGCTTCATCAATCTGTAAACAGAAGTTATATTAAGAAGACTAAAATAGTAATAATATAAGAATATAAGATTCAGGGAAGATAGAAACAGTCAGCAATAAAGGATTTCTTTATTTTCTGTGATGATTAGAATCAAATTGTTCTTCACAAGGATACATGGAACAGGGAGAGTTTGTGAAAGTATGATATGGAGAAAGAGTGGCACATTTATTAGGAGAACGGTTTAGACATTTTGAAAAAAACTATTTTTTGTTAAGAATTGGTGCTATATAAATAAAATTGAATTAAATTGAATTGAAAGAAGGTTCAGCAAGCCTATTTAA